TCTCCTAGTCTCTTGAACAATCTCTGGCCCAAACAGACTACTCTCTCCAACTTCTAACCAACAAGTCAGGGATCTACATGGTCTCCTATACAATGCCTTGTAAGGTGCCCTGTCAATGCTAGATTGAAATCTATTGTTATATGCAAATTCACCAACGACAAATGATCATTCCAATTTTCCTTGAAGTCCAACACACAAGCTCGTAACATATCCTCTAAAATTTGTATCACCCTCTTAGATTGGTCATCCGTTTGAGGATGACAGATGGTGCTAAAGTGCAACTCTGTCCGCACAACTCTTCTTGATTGCAACTCTGGCCTGACTGTGGGCTTCATCTTTAGTGTGTTCCTCCAGATGTCTCCTTCGGTGATTTTCCCCAAAGTGGTTATGCTCATGAAGCTCTGTGACTCCATTAGACAGAGCTTGGCGTTCTTGGGGGGGGGGGGCATCGTGTTTTGCCAAAGGTGGAAGAGGCTCTTGATAGGTTGGCGGGAACTGTGAAAGCTGGTGTGTCTGTATCCACATTATCAATTCTTGGTTCTACTTTATCAATTGCATCTTGGTCTGACGATAGGCTTCCAATTCGTTGAGCGAAGGGAGGTCCACCATTAGGGGTGGTTCTCGACGTCTGCTTCAGGGCCAAAAAATTTTTCGGTAAATTTTGGTGAACTTGGGGATTGGCATGAGATTTACTCATATTCCAGGTCGAAACCATCAAACTAAGAAGGATGCAAGAATACTCAAGGAAAATGATGAAAACTGTTTCCCACAGACTGCACCAAACTGATGGGTGTCTGAAATTTTTGGCCCAAGTTCGATACCTTAGCCGGTGGCCCAGAGGGGATGAAGAGTAAATATGAAGAATGGAAAGGGATAGAACAGTAAGGAGATATCCAAGGCATAATGTAAGTGTTCACCCTAGCCAGAAAATTAAGGCTACATCCACTATAATAAAGTCTCTTGCTCCTCAATCTGTATATTACTGATTCTTGGTAAGTACAATGGCGTAGCTAGCACAAGCCTTTACAAGAACAATATACAGATAATCTAGACTGTTTGATGACTCGATAGTGCCAATGCAGGAGATGATCCTTCTTTACTATACGTAAATAGTGTCTTATTTATACAAGTGATTCATTTAGTGTTTCCTAAGGCTCCTTCTTCCTTTTTACTGATTCTATGGGCTCTCCACTTTTGTCCTGTAGCGACCTCGGTCACATGACGCCACTATGCTCACATTCTTGAACGGTTATACGCACAAACGTTCTTTGTGCCAGGGAGTGCGTGCTCGTTATAAGGTGTCAGAAGTGGTCCCCTCGTCTTTAGGACATGTGGCACGACGGGGGAGCTTTAGGGCAGGCGTTGGGCCGAGCTTCTCTATCTGAGCTGACATATGGTTGAGTTGGATTAGGGCTGAACTGGAGTCCAGATCCTCTAGTACCATTGGGCCTTTCCCTTGTGCTCAATAAACTCTGCTCTTGGTGTATACAGGCTGTGGACGCTCCATTTGGGCCATTACGCAATCATTGGTTTCTCGGACTCATTGGGCTATTTGATTATGGCGGCCCATACCTAAAATCCCATCATTATCAAGAAGTTTTAAAAAGAAGTTTAAGATTATGTGCGTTTGTTTTTTTGTTGTAATAGGTTTAGGTATTCTCGATTTATATTACATGACATATGGAGTTGGTTAAATTTGTGTGATTTGTCTTCTTCTCTGGTTCAAACCGATTTGGTGTAACTCAAGTTCAAAAACATAAATAATGGAATTATTCCAAATGAATAATTTAGGTTTAAAGTCGAGTTTGGGTTGAGCTCAAGTTGAAAGTTTTTTTAACTCGAGTTAAACCTGGATTAATTTTTCTTCTAACCCAACCTGCTCGAGTTGCACCGTTACCTACAAGTGCTATATGCCTGACCCATGTAACGGAAACCTATGAAACTTGTATTTGCCAAGGTTTGACCTTATTTTTGTCATCATGTATTAAGAAAAAAATTACAGCAAATTGCCCTAAAAACTAACGAGTTTTCAGCCATACTTTCAGTGGAAACTTTTTTTTTTTTTGATCAGAAACAGACATGCAGCACTATATATTACATAGAAAAATTTAAATTACAATTAGACAAAATGGAAGCCTTAAGCTCGGGAGGGGGGGAGCCTAACCAATCCAACAGAAGGGAATTGGTTAGTTTAGCAACTGTCACCCAATGAGCAGCCCTATTACAGACTCGAGACTTATGTAAAAAACTGAAGTTATGTAACCTAGCCAAAGACCTAATATCATCTATGATAACCTTAATGTCCCACGGAGGAACATCCTCAATAGAACTCAGCTTAATAATAGAAAGACAATTGTTCATAATTGTGATATTGGAAAGCAAAAGGGCTGCAGCAGCTTGACATGCGTGGCACACAGCCTCGGCTTCAAAAAACCAATGGAGATACAACAGGGAAAGACTTGGCAGCACCAAAAACAAAAGACTTATCAGCTTGAAGCAGCACTAAACCACAGGCAGCCGAATTAGAAGTAGAGGAAAAAGACCCATCACAGCAAAGGAGTGAGGCAGACAACGGGGAAGGGGATGGCATCATTGAAGACACTGAAGAAGCATGACTAGATTGAGAGCAAGCAGGCACTGTGAACAAATCACTCCAGAGGCTTTGAGCACGAATAACTGCCGCAACTGCATTAACCTCTTCATCATAGAAGACCTTTTGATTTCTGGATTTCTATAAAACCCAACCAACAGTGGCAACCTTACCTAGCACCTCCAAGCGATCCTGAACAGACCCAACCTGGTCCAAAATCCAGGAAGACCTGTGTGCCACAGACAAAAAGGAATGCGCCTCCCACTCAATAGCCAAATTCATACCAAACCAAACCCTTTTCATCCAACCACACTCAAACAAGATATGCTCAGTGGATTCAATACACTTATTACAGATAGGACAAAAGGGAGAGGAAACACACTTCCTTTTAAAAAGATTCTCCCGAGAAGCCAAAATGTTATGACAAGCTCGCCACCAAAAATGCCTGACTTTAGGCATGGCCAATGGAGACTTGAATCCATCCTAAAAAGGGGGTAAAGGAAGCCCAAAGTCAAACCAATGTGTCACATTTTCAATTACCATGGTTAGGCCTCTTCGTGTCGGTTAACCAACTAGCCCGTTAACTAGATTACCGTGTTTAGGCCTGACCGCGTGGTTAGGCCTGTCCAATTAAGTATCTATTAAGAAATTTTTTTGAAAGGTGTTTATACCTTTAAAAAAATTGACATAATGACTACATATAGCACTTTAGGGTTTATGGTTACAAAGAAGTGTTTGTTTCATGTTCCTTTATACCGTTAGGAGATGTCTCCAACAATTGTAGATTAATATATTCAAGCCCAATGAATTTATCTTTGCCTATTCTTGGTTTTGCACAGATGGATACTTAATTGGATGACTCACCTTCGTTTTATCTCACTATATGCTTCCTCTTTTGTCTCTCTCTCACCCTATGCATGTGTGGATATCTACCCATGCCTGCACAGAATATAGGTACAAATTTATAATGAATTCATGTTTTTTTTTTATAATTTGGGTTTTGAAATTTGTTTGTTCAAGTCAGAGAACATGAAGGGAGATTTGATGAACTTGTGAATCTTAACTTTGTACAAGGTCATGATTGACCTGGAAGGTATTTTGGAGAGTTTAGAAAAGTTTTTTAGGTGTGAGATACTGGAAATTGTTTTTATATGACAAAGCATGTGGTTAAGTTGACTATAGATCTCGGTCAAAATCAAGCACAAAGAAATCATATTTTTATGAGATTATAGTTTTGGGTCAAAAATTATGTTATAGTTTCTGTGGATTTTTCTTTTCTTTTCCTTTCATTCTTACAGCATGAAGAAAGATTATATAAACTTGTTTCTTAAAATTTTTACAATCACAGTTAAGTATATATGTCAGAGGATCACCTGTTGTATCACATAAGATAATAGAAAATACGCTGATAATTTTTGCATCAATACTATATAACATTAGATATTTAAAACAGTTCATGTACAAAGTACATATACACCAATTAATCAAATTAAAAGTCTATAATAGGCTAGGCTCCCATTATTGTCAAAGGACAACTTCGTCTCCCCGAAAGAAAAATAGGCCCGCTCTCTCACTTACTAATCCCATGAATTCAAGTGAAATCTATTAAAATAAAATTACAATAAATTCAAGTGAATTAAAGCACAAGAGATGCTTGGCTACAATTTCCATCTCGCTCATTACAATGAATTCAAGTAGAATCTATTAAATAAAATTAAGACAAATACACCTGAAAGAATCTGGATCCAAGGTGTTCATCCTTCTTGCAGCTAGCCTTCGACCAAAATTATGTCAAGAGTGAAGATCTGTCATTATTTTTCCACAAGTTGCCATGTTTTCTTAATTATGCAATACAGCTATCCATTGGTATTTCCTTGGTCAAAGAGGGGGAAAAGTGAAAAAGAAAACAAACGTTGGTCCTTCAACAGGAACTAAACCATTTTAGCATCAGGCGTTGATATAAAAAAGAACCCAGAATACAAATGGCTTACATCCCTACATTCCTCCTGTATTCTTTTCCAGCTGCTCAGAAAGAGGTAATATCAAGTGCGTTGTGTGTGTAATTTTATTCCAAAAAGTGAGGTCTTAATAACAAGTATGAAACCTAAACACAATGCTAGTGTTACAATACAAAATATGAAATATGTAAGAAAGAAAACTGGAATACACTACTATTCTCTGGCGATAAAATAAATTGAGATATTAAAATAGTGACCAGATTGAGTAACAATTACTCAAGACTCTTTGGAACGCCCCCACAGAAGAATTGCATTATTTGAGACTCTCAAAATGCATGCCATTCACTTTGGTTCCATCACTTCCCCACCTGGTAGAGGAACTGCAACTGGTTTACTGAGAAGTGCTTTTACAAACATGTAGTCTCCCTGGAGCCCGCTTACACTTCAATCACCTACTGAAACAACCTCTTTAGCTTGTCCGCAGATTGAGCTGCTCTTTTATTGGTCGGCTCAAGAACAAGTGCATATCTGAAATCTGAAGGAAGGATCCAGGGGGTGGGGCAGAAAGAAGTATTAATCCAATTACTTCAAGAATGACACCGAATAAGTGAGCAAGATCTGTGCCCGAAACACACATTGACCAACTTAATTTTGACATGTCAACATATTTGTTAACTATTGAAAATAAAACTGCTCCATTCTTTTTTAACCCCAAATCGAGGAAAAAGACAACGAAATATCAACCTGAACTTCTCAATATGTTATCTAACCAGAAGCATTTCTATACTCCTTTCACAAAATGTGATTTTTTAGTTACACTGCTGAGTACGACAAAATGAGAATTCTCTTCCAGCTTTTCTCAAAAGTCCAACATCTGGATCACAGGATGTAAGCAAATACTCAACATATGCACTCACCTTCAGTTGCCTCTTTATAGTAGCCAAGCATCTCCCGTGCTGTGCCTCTTCTTAAATAGGCCTTCACATTCTGGAATATACAGAAAACCATACGTAATGTTATTCTCAGAAGCAACTTGTCATTCCCCACACAGCAGAGAAATATACAATACATGCAAATTAGGATGAAACAAAAGGCAGCTACATAGATGAAAGAATATAGCATTATGCTTGCAAAATAAACTTGAACAAGTAGAAAATTATTTCCAAGAAAAATTTTCTTCTTTATTTTCCTTTTCACTTTTCTTAAGTGAATAAGTTATACCCCAGATCCTTGGCCCAACAACGACTCGAACATTCCACGGCAGGAGGTAACACCAAAGCTAAGAGCCAATGGCTGCATTACTGAGCACATTGTAATTGCATGCAAATTTTTCTCAAGGAAAATGAAAACCTTAAAAAATAAAGGAATTATCCTATAACAATTCTCATAACTTTCTGAGAGATCATGCCCGGCATTGCTGGTAATGCAACTGTGCCAGTAGGTATTGTATACTGGTCGAACATAAAGGTGGAAGTACTAATAGATGTCTCAACGGTAGATGTCTCAACAGTAGGGGTCTCAAGTCCCTTAGTAGTAGCCATATCAATAACAATACTAGGGCACCCATGACAGAAAAATAACTCTTAAGATAAATAGAGGGATAAAATAAGGGAGAACAATATACCACTAGTTGAACAGTAGTAGACAAATAAAGAAGGTCCAGAAAGCTCCAAAATAATCAAGTCACGGTGCCCAGAAATCCAGTAAACATTAATAAATGATCTACTGCATCAAGAGCATATCAACGGAGAAGAGGATTCAACCCCTCTTAAAAGGTCCTACGATCCCAAATAATCAAGCGTACGAAGACAAAAGAAGAGCACGTCCCAGCAATGGGCTGTGTGGAGTGATGAAGAGGCAGGCTGTGTGGAGTGAGCACTGTGTCGAAGAGGCAGGCTGTGTGTGGCGTCGACAGCAGGGTATTGGGTTTATGGAAGGGTATTGGTTGGCTGTGTGTGGAAGGGTATTGGGTTTATGGTTTTATGGGTTTATGATTGTCGGTGGGCTGTTGGTGGAGTTTGGTAGGAGTTTAGGCTGTCGGTGGAATTCATTTATGCTGATGGTGGAATTCACTTATACGAAACTGTTGAGGTTGGCTTCATCGGTTTGAGTCGTATGTGGTTTTGTTGCTGGGTTTGGGTTTATGCTTGGCTTTATTGGTTTGTTGCTGTTGGTTTGATGGTTTGGACAGTGGTGGTTGACTGGGCAGTCAGTGCAGAGTGCAGTCGGCAGTGTGTGTGGGCAGTCGCAGGTTAGGGGCAGTCGCTTCTGGCTACGCTGCTGTGTTTGGCGGAGGTTAGGGGTAGGGGTAGGGTTGGTGGCTCTAATACCAACTTGAGATAGATGTAAGTAAAAGGGATACAAACTAAATGTAAAGCCCCGTATATATAATCAACAATAAAGATACAATAAGGATAAAAAAGTAAAACAAAGGTAAAAAGAAAAACCCTAATAATCTAGGCTATAACTCCATCAGAGCCAAACTGCATTATTTGCACAAGCTGTCTGCCCTCATATTTGAAGCCAAAACTTCACAAATTAGCTGCCAAAACACTTTTTACCAATATACCAAGCAATGACCCCTATGCAGGAAATACAAACTTTCTCGTCAAACATTTAAGCTACGAAATTAGATCGCAAACACTTCTCTTTTTATTTTTTGATATATAAATGGAAACAACTAAATCTAAGGCTTAATATCCTTGATTTCATGGGGAAAAAAATGAGATGCTTGAAAGTAACATCATATGATTGGGGATGGTAAACACCGAATAACAAAATGATCAATCAAATATTTTGACGATATCACAATGTAGAAAACCCAATTCCTGCAAACCACTACAAATCACTCAATTGACCAATAGAAGTCCACAGTTATTTGATATTGATCCAAAACACACTTTTAAATGTTCCCAAAAAAATAAATAAATAAGCATAGCCGTTGTAAGGTCGATCCATGATGACTGCATCTGCAAAGCAGGCAAATAACAACTAACCTCCAACAGTAGATTTCCTTGAGACATCATCGAGGCCAGTTGACATTAAGGGAAAGCTATCTGGGGGATGATTATAAAACACTTGTAGTACCATGATATTTGCACCAAGAGGACATTAATGCTTTGTGGGAAAAGAACTACTGTGGTTCAACAGCTAGATGTTTATTGGAGACAACTTCTGAGTCAAAAAAGTCCCTCTCGAATATTTAAATTCTTGAATATTAGGTCATATATCAATTAGTCATATCATATTTCTAAACTGGTATGCTGCATTGACAATATACAAATCCTTGATATTTCAGGATACTTTAACCAAATTAAAAAGCGGCCAATAGATGATACGATCCTTGGATAATTAATTTTACTTTTACTATGGTAGAGATACGTGTTTAACTATTTGCAGATCAATCTTGAAGCAAAAGTGAACCACAGCTACAAGTTTTTATCACATCAATTAAGTCAGCTATAGTTGACATCCATATAGCATTCGCCAAATGCATAAAATCAATATCAGATACTTCATGATCAATCAATTGATTACAGACAAACCATTGCATGAAGCATTTATAAATGTTACAAGCCCATTCAAAAACTGGTTAAATTTATCTTGCATGATCCTACAATTCTATTAGATGAGTCCAGAAAAAAAAATGCAAAATAATCCTTAAGTCTTGCAGCAGCAATAATGCCAGTAAAACAACCCTGACATTGATTGAGAGTTCCAATATAAGAGCTGCCACCTTATACAAATTATGCTAAAAGTAAGTTGTGGATGGTCCACCCCCTCCCAACACACTCTATTAGTGATGAACCTTTATTAAGAAAAAAATGCCACGTTATGTTCAAGGTGTTAAGAATATTAGGGTAGTATGTGTAAATTGTTACTAGTAAAAGGGTGTATATGTAATTCTTATTATTGTGAGGTAACTATAAATACAAATGATGTATGAAAGCTAGGTTAAGTTTTAACCTCTCTCTGTTTCTCTCTAAATAGTGTCTCTAATATTATGTTAATCCTCCAAACTTAACATGGTATCAGAATAAAAACAATACAAATATTATCTCGTCTGTTTCGCAGTTGTGTGCCTATCGTCTCTATGACTATTGTGAAGTTCAACGTTGTGTTGTGTTGTGTTGTTCATCATGTCTTATCTGGTGATGGTGGTAGTCGACATTGGTGGTCGAGGAGTTTTGCTTCGTGGTGGTTTTGGTATCTGTTTTTGGTGGTGGCCTCTGGTTCTACTTCGGTGGTGTAGTCGACTGGGTGTTCTTTTGCTTCGGTGTGGTAGTCGACTGGGTGTTCTTGGCGCCGTCAACAGGTGTTGAGTTGGTGTGGCTGCCTGGCTGTAGGTTGTTCACCGCAGTCAACGTTGAGGAGCATTAGGTTTTTTGGTGAAGAAGACGACTCACTCGACTAGGTCGGTTGCGGGTTTGGTTCCCAGCCCAGATCCAGATCCAAATCCAAGCCTAACCCAAATCTAGATCCAAGTCAAGACCCGAGTCCAGATCCATATCCATATCCGGATCTAAACCATATCCAAGAAACTCGGATCATATCCAGTAGCCTCAAACCAGACCGGTTCAATTCCGAATCAGTGAGTTTACACCGGTTCAGTCCCAGTTCAGACCAGTTCCATCTGTTTTGTCTCCAGTTCAGTGGTCCAGTGGACTTCTCTGGTCCGGTTCAATGCTCCAGCTAGGTTCTCTAGCCCGGTTTAGTGATCCAACAACCTTCTTTTCTTTGGTTCAACGATCCAATGGACTTCTTTAGTCCGGTTCAGTGGTCCAGTGGACTCCTCTGGGCTGGTTCAGCACTCCAGCTAGGCTCTCCAGCCCGGTTTGGTGATCCAGCAAGTCTCTCTTCTTCGGTTCAGCAGTACAGTAGGTGATTCTTGTTCGGTTCAGTGATCTAATGAGTTCCTTTTTTATTTGTTGTACTGTTATGGAACCCAAGCAAGATGCTAATTCCCCTGCTCCATCTTTGCCACCTACCTCTTCTTCTCCAGTTCTTGTTAATGGTCCCATGACCTCCGTTAAACTCAATGGGACTAATTATACTTTATGATCTTGCTCAGTTCAAGTCTTCCTTTGAGGCAAAGGTATTAAAAAATATTTGGTTAATCCTAAACCTAAGGAAAACAGTCCTGGGTATGATCAGTGGAAACAAGAGGACGCTCAACTTATCTCTTTATTGTTGAATAGCATTAAGCCTAGTATTAGCTCTACTCTGCTGTATCTTGACACTACCAAAGAGATATGAGATCACTTGAAACCTATGTATTCTGGTATAGGTAATTTTACCCGGACTTATGAGGTGTGCAAGGAGTACTTCCGGTTGGAGCAGGATACTCTAAGCCTTGAGGATTATTACTCTCACGTTCAGGGAGTCTGTGAGGAGATGAAGACCTACCATCTATTTACTACTGATGCAGCAGTTTGGCAAAAGCAATATGAGGATCTAAATGTTGTTAGATTTGTGGTAGGATTGAAACTTAAATATGAGGCTATTCGTTCTCAGATTCTGGATAGTTCTAGTCTTCCCACACTGCTTGAGATTTTCTCTCGTTTATAGCGTGCCACCTTGTCTACTCCTTCAAGCATTGATCAAGGTGTCTCCACTGATCGCTCAGCTCTTGTGGTTCTTAGTAGCCACAGTGATGGTCATCGAGGTGGTCGTAGTGGTCGAGGAGGACGTAAAGGAGGTTGTACAAGTGGTCGTGGGGACCATAGTGGACTCCGTTCCTATACTCATTGTGGTCGTGGAGGACACACTATTGATTACTGTTGAGATTTACATGAAAAACCTTCTAGTGTTACTAATCAAACTTCCTATCAGGATGACAACTCAGCTGTTGCTTTCATACCTCGGTCAGCTCCACCAGACACTGGGTCGGTTGCTATTACACTAGGTCGAGAGGAGTATACCTAATTCCTATCCCAGCAACATGCTATTCCATCTCCCTCCACTGCTACTTTTGCCTAGTCAGATACTGATTCCACTTGTTTATTGTCCTCCACTCGCAGTCCTTGGGTCATAGACTCTGGTGCTTTTAACCACATGACTGATGCATCTGGTATTTTTTCTACTAATCAGTCTGCTACTTCCCCACGTAGTGTTATTCTTCCTAATGGTACTTGTTCTAAAGTTTCAGATTTGAGAACTACTCATTTGAGTCTTGATATGTCCCCATTCTCAGTATTATTTGTTCCTCAGTTTCTTTTTAGTTTACTTTTCATTAGCAAGATTACTCGTTCTTTCAATTATTCTGTAACATTTTATCCCTCTTATTATGTATTTAAGGATCTCAAGACGAAAAGAAAGATTGGTATGGGACATGAAGTTGGTGGCCTACATTACTTTGATTTTGATTCACCCACCCGAGCTCTACAGACCTTGTTCTCTCCTTTTCAATGACATTGTCGTCTTGAACATCCCTCTCTCCAGAATCTGAAGCGTCAAGTTCTCAGTCTTAGTTATGTGTCATCTTTGTCTTGTAAAGCTTGTCAATGTAGTAAGCATCACCGTGTCTTTTCAATCTAGAGTCAATAATCGTGTGTCTACTCCATTTGAGTTTGTACATTCTGATGTATAGGGTCCAATAAAGAATATTTCATCTAATAAATATCCTTATTTTTGTGTCATTTGTGGATGATTATTCTCGTGTGACCTGGTTGTTTTTTATGAAAGCTCGTTCTGAATTATTCTCTATATTTGAGACATTTCACAAGAAAATAAAGACTTAGTATGGTTTACGAATTTTACGTTCTGGTAATGCTCGAGAATATGAATCTGATCCTTTTTCAGCTTATCTTAGTAAAACTGACATTATTCATCAAATTTTTTGTGTTCACACATCTCCACAAAACGACATTACTGAACGTAAGAACCGTCATTTGTTGGAAGTCACCCATGCCCTTTTATTCCAAATGAATATTCTCCGATATTTTTGGAGTGGTGTTATTCTTACTGCTTGTCACCTTATTAATCGTATGTCATCCTCTGTGTTAAATGGGCAAAGTCTATATTCTGTCTTTTTTCCTAGTAAGCCCTTATTTTTCCTAATTCCCAAAGTTTTTGGATGTGTCTGTTATATTCACAATTTGGATCCTGAGTTTGATAAACTTGACCCTCGAGCTATTAAATGTGTATTTCTTGGTTATTTCCGCACACAAAAGGGGTATCGTTACTACAGTCCATCTTTGCAATGATATTTTACTAGTGCTGATGTCACATTTGAGGAATCTGTTCCGTATATTCCAATACCTTCTCAACCTTTAGTTCTGGACTTTGGGTCATCTTTTGTACCACCATCTCTTCCCTCATCTTCCGATATTTCGTTGTCCACTATATTACCATCTACTTTACCTCTTCGTGTATACTCTCGTCGTCCTCGACCATCGACCAAGGTGCCCGTACCGTCTTCCTTGTCGCTTTCTGATCTTGGTCCATCAGGTAATTTAGACTCTTTACCTATTGCTCTTTGAAAAGGTACTTATTCGTGTGTTACTAATTATCCCATTACTCATTTTGTTTTATATGATGTTTCGTCTCCTATTTTCTCTTGTTTTACCTCTCAATTATCTACTATATCTATTTTTAAGCATTTACAGGATGCATTATCTGATCCAGGGTAGAGGAAAGCTATGAAAGATGAGATGGATATCTTACATCATAATGGGACTTGGGCTCTCGTTCCTTTACCTCCTGGTAAACGTACTGTTGGTTGTCATTGGATATATATTGTTAAATTTCATCTGGATGGTTCTGTGGAGCATCTCAAAGCCCGACTTGTTGCAAAGGGCGTTACTTAGACCTATGGTGTTGATTATGAGGAAAGTTTTTCTCCTGTTGCCAAAATTTTCTCTGTTCGTATCTTGATTTCTTTGGCTGCTAATCTTGATTGGCCCTTGTTTCAGTTAGACGTCAAGAATACATTCCTACATGGTGACTTGGTGGAAGAGGTATACATGGAATAGCCACCTGGGTTTATTGCTCAGGGAGAGTATGGTAAGAATGTATGTCGGTTAAAAAATTTTTTGTATGGTTTGAAGCAATCTCCAAGGGCATGATTTGGTAAATTTTTAGATGCAATTTTAGAGTTTGGTCTTCTGTGATGTCAGACAGACCATTCTGTGTTTCATAGACAAATGGATGCTGGATATGTTCTATTAGTGGTCTATGTAAATAATATTGTGATCACTGAAAATGATTCTGAGAGGATTGTTAAGTTAAAAATCTTCTTGTAAGATCGATTTTATACTAAGAAATTGGAAATACTCTTATATTTCTTAAAAATTAAAGTGGCTCGATCTAAACAGGACATTTGTTCATCACAGAGAAAATATGTGCTTGACATACTAGAGGAAACAGGTTTGATGGGTGATAGACCGATTGATGTTCCTATGGATCCGAATCTGAAATTATTGATGGATGATGGTATACTGTTTGAGAATCCGGGTCGGTATCGCAGATTGGTTGGGAAGCTTAATTATCTGACTATTACTCGACCAGATATTTCTTATGCAATCAGTATAGTAAGTCAGTTCATAGGATGTTCTATAGTACCACATTGAGAGGCAGTTACTCGTATTCTGCAAATCTCAAACGAGCTCCTGGACTTAGATTGTTATATCGAGCTAATAGTCATCTTAGAATGGAAGATTTCTCAGATGCTGATTGGGCTGGCTCTCCTTCTGATTGGAGATCAACCACTGGTTATTATACTTTCTTAGGACATAACAATATCTCATAGAAAAGTAAGAAACAATTTGTGATAGCAAGATCCAATGCTGAGGCTGAGTATAGGGCAATAGCGCATACGACAAGTGAGTTGACTTGACTACTACACTTCTTCCAGAAAATTAGATTTTCAATTCAACTTCCTTTACAGTTGTTCTGTGACAACTAGGCAACTATCCATATCGCTGTCAATCTGGTATTTCACGAGAGAACCAAACATATTGAGATTGATTGTCACTTAATTCGAGACAAGATAGTAGCTGAGAAAATTACAACTCCATCTTTGAAATCTGAAGATCAGCTTGCAAATATGTTTACCAAAGCATTGAGTCATACGCGTCTTACAGCGATTTATTCCAAACTTAGATTATATGATATATATAGTCCAGCTTGAGAGGGAGTGTTAAGAATATTAGGGTAGTATGTATAAATTGGTAATAGTAAGAGCGTGTATGTGTAATTCTTATTATTATGAGTTAACTATAAATACAAGTGATGTATGAAAGTTAGGTTAAGTTTTAACCTCTCTGTTTCTCTCTAAATATTGTCTCTAATATTATGTTAATCCTCCAAACTTAACACAAGGCAACGAGTTTCACTGTAGAAAGATTAAAAAACAAAATAGATATAAAAGGGTCTGCACAGCCTAAGATCAACATTAGATCCAGTCACAGTAGTAATAACAAAATTGCTTTTAAAATTGGAGATCACCTTCTTATCTACATCAATAGCTTTAGTACAATCTGCTTCAGCTTGGAGGAAGCTGCATGAACAAACATCAAAACAAAAATAAATAAAATAAAATTCTCAAAAACCTGAAAACAAAGAAGTAGAGGCCATTAAACTGTCAAGAAAGAAACAACACCTTCCCAATTCTAGATATGCTGCAGCCCTATTGCTATAGTAAGTAGCATTATTACTGTTGAGTTTGATCGCTTCTGTATAAAAGCCAATGGCCCTCTGCCACTGCTTATCTTTGAATGCCTGATTACCCTGAATTAATAGAATAGGTGAACAAACTAGAACGACAAGCAACAGAAAAGGAAATGCATTTAGGAACAAAACCAAGGGCCAACACGTCATTTAAGGCTTTGATTAGCAATTTCTCATTTCCATAAAAAAGTGATGCACAAGAAAAAGCAATGTTGGCATCATATAGTGGCACATTTAACTGCATTTCATCATTTTAAGGCAGTCTGTCCCACCACATGTTTAGTAGCATGAAAATTAGATTGTACAATTTTACCAAATTAAAGAGCATTCCAATTTACATTGAAAGGGGCTTTAATCACAGCATAAATTTTCTTCCAGAGTATAATGGTCAAAAGCTCATGAGGCAAGCACAAAACTAAAAGCTCAACCACAAGAATATAAACCGGAATAAGCGTATATTGAAATAATTAGAACAATTTTTCTAGGGTCTTGATACTTGACTCAAAAAGGTCATGTCTCAAATATTTTAGGTTTGAATACATGAATCATGTTTCACTACTATTGTACTTTTTTTGGCACTGTGCCTTCTGTCGGGGTTTTACAACAGGTTATATGGCAAGTATCACTCCCAACCAGACTTTATTAAGTAATGTTTTGTACCTATGGACTAATGAATTCCACAATCTGTCGAAATCCATCAAGGTCATATTATCTCACCCAGGCAATTGTTTAACTCTAAATTAACCCCTAAAGACTGGAACATTGAGAATTAAGATGGCTCGTTCTTGCAACTACATATATGAACAATATGTAATAATTGCACAAATTATTCCGGTACACTGGCTGTTATGTTGCATGACATTCCTCTTGTTGGGCATAGCAAACATCTGTTATGTTCTATCCAACTTCTTCTCCAAGGTGTGAAGTTGGATAGAAAAGACAAGATGATACCCTGTGGATTTAGGAATCTAAGGTTGCAGTATGATCTTTTAGCTTTAGAAGGCAAGAATTTTGCTCACAAAACAAATATCCTAGGTTGGGAAAGACTCCCTATTTATAGGTCCATAATAAGGGTAACCTTAGCAATCAAGAAAACATAATTTCTGAATGACTGCTCAAGTATTGGGAGGACAATCATAGGGCAGTGGTCACTAGAATGAAAATAAAATTTCAAACCTACCTAGGAGAGGACCGCTTGAGTAACCCAGAGAGCGACCCCTACTCTCCGTTTAGCGTTTACCCGATTTTTCCCAAAGTCAAGAAAACACCACTCTAGAAAAGTTAGTAAGCATAGGACGGTCCCTATTGATTTTTGTAAGCCAAAAAGCAAACAAAAAATGTGTCCTCTTGAGCACTAAAGGGCTTTGGTCAAGAGGGGTCCTATGATGGCTCAAATTTATATTTTCAAAACACACAAAAAGTTTAGAAAAACCTTCTTTGAAGAACACCTAGGACCATACTCGGATCAGATATCGATTCCATTTTAACACTAATCTTCGTAAGTTTATTAAACCAAAAGATTATCTTAGGTCTCTAGGTCATTACCTTATTTTAAGCAAGAATGTGCATAAAGAGTGCTTTTGATATAGCTCTGACGGATGAATTCCTCTTTTTAAATAACGTTTTTGGGTCTTCATCATTGTAGCACCATGACCATGGAATAATTTGAGATCTACAAGGACTTCACGAAATTAAACAATTACAAAACATGATATGTGACTCGATCCATGAGAGCACCCCCAATAGCACTAGTCTCCTCAATAAGAGCTACTTTATACACCTATTAATCAAAAAGATGCAATACATGTAATGCCCCAAAAATCCAGGGATCCTTTCTTAATCCACTGATCAACCATCAACCCGTGGAAGTACCCGTGAATGTCGTATAACCTGGCACCATGTCATTACATCCCCTTCACCGGGGTCATAACGTAAAACGAATGGCTAGCAAAATCTCCTTTGCCCGAAAACTCTAACCAATACATAACATGTTACACATTACTTGTATGACCATTCCAAGGTCCAATTCTCATCAATTTCCATTTAATATTGACTAATTACATCCTTTAAATAAGAAGACTCAAGACCCAAAGGCTTGGCAAAGTTATATTTAAATTTTGAAAATACTGAAAGGGGTACTGGTACCTCTTACACTTGGTACCGGTACCTGAGCCTTCTGTTTTCATGTATTGGTACCTAAGTGACGTAGTACCAGTATCTGGACCTTCAATTTTTCAAATTCCCTCTATTTGCCTAGTACCAGTACCTGAGTGACTTGGTACTGGTACCTAAACCCACTATTTGCTAGGTACTGGTACCTATATATCGTGATACCAGTACTTGAGCACACTGTCCATCAAGGTAGTTGTGCCTGAAGCCTTGGTACCAGTACCTGAGCCCATTGGAATCCAAGTACTGGTATCTTTAAGTCTAAGTACCGGTACCTAGGTCATCCAACTCTAAACCATTCAATCCCATTCATACACAATATATTCATTCATTGGCATGAAAACATGGTCCAAAAAGTTTGTTACATGTCTCTTTTTAACAAAATTACAAGTCCAATACAAATTTACATATTTATGTACAAAATGCAATTCCCAAAAAGCCACAATCCGACTCCTTCATCAACAAGGAACCAAGTGAAGGTCGTCTACCGGTGTTGTCCTGTACCTAAAATGTATTCTCCATAAAGGGTGAGTCATGCTCAATAGTATAGCAGCTAAAAAGACTACTCCCCAACCCAGATGCATATGAAATGTTCATATATAATTCATCAATCAAAAATTCATTCAAAAATATATAATTCATAAATAAATACCACAATGTCGTATCATGCCATGATATGAAACTCACACATGCAATGCAACCCGAGCTCTCCACCGGCTCCCATAACACATGCAATGTTATGCGTTTGCATCCAGACATTTCAAGCCCCTGCCATTAATACTTAACATTCAATGACCATTTTATAAAAACTCTCAGGTCTTTTTTGGGGTGGATATTTATAGAATTCTACCAACGGGTACCCAACCGACACGGCATCTATGAACTTCCACCAACAGCTCCGCATACGCTGACACACTTTATAGACTCAATACCAACAGGAGAATCTAGCTCTTCTTGTTAAACTCAACCCTTGTTTTCAATGCAACCTGTGCGACTCAGTCGAACCTAAGTCCAACTTTCCTAAGCTCATGTATCAACCCACCAAATATGGTATTTGATCAAAAACATGCACACACCCCCACACTTATGTTCAATGTTCACAAATGTGATGCTACCCGTGCACATACAAATGTCATGTACAATTGCAATTTCAATGTCATATTCAACATATGAGCATATTATGAACATATTTCATCTCCACAACAATTTTCAATTTCTTTCAAATGTCAATTATATCACAAAGCATATAATTACATTCCAGTCTCCACTAAGTATGTTATATCATTTTCATGTCAAATAACACACTCAATCAATCATAATAGACATTTTATCAAACACCAAAAAAATGCAAAGATTATGTAAACACATAGCATGTCCAAAACATCACATTATCCATAAAATTCACAACCAAGCAATTTCATCAAAACCCAATCATGCAAAATTTGGTTTAAATCATGTGTCATATACCCATTTCATATTCTAGCAATCCTAAATATGTGTTATACATGAGATTTCACCTCTAACACCCTACCCATTTCATATTTTAACCCTAGGTTGAAAATAAACTTAATTAAGAAAAAAACTCTACCTCTTGAAGCACAAATCTGCGTAGGAGAAGTCACAAACGACCCAAATCAAGCCTCAAAGCCTTTATCCCAAAAATCCCATCCTTTGAGAGTTTGGTGAAACGCACGATCTTTGGTACGTCCGCGTAACTCTCGTCGCGTAGAACAACTTTATCTCTTGACCCAAAAAGATCCGACAGTCGAATCACCTTAGATCGAAGGAAGAAGGTGGAGAACCCTTTACTTTTCTCTCTCTATTGAAAATGGCTAGTGTAAATGGGGAGAAAATCTGATTTTTCTCTCCTATTTATACCCTCATATGTTTGGCTCTCATTAAATCACACATTACATCTTTTCTGATATGATTTTATTCCGAATCAATTAAAACTCGTTCTGCTTTAAGTTTAGTACATTTTTATCGAACTAACTTAAAAAAAAAATTCTGGGTTCCACGACCAAAATTTGATCTCATTTATTTTAATCGTGTGACGCCCGATTGCCTCGTAAAAAATAAAAAATTTAACTATCTCGGAATTTGATGAAAATTGATTGGGTAGCTAAATTTTGCAAGACGAATCCAACGATGTGGTCCGTTTTGTCATCAGAGTTTTAAAAAAATTTGGGTTTTCAACCTGTACCGTACAACTAATTATCATTTTGCCCTTTTTAATAAAATTTTAATTTTTCCCGAGTTTTACAATACATGATATGTGCCTCGATCCAGGCCAATGTTTTTTTGGCATCCATAAAACAAGCAAGTCCGTACACTCGCCTAGACGCAATCAACTCGCCTATTCGTGTATGAATGATGCTCTACCTCACTTGGCTTGTGCTATGCATCTTTCCACTATTGTGTTTTCTTTGTTTTGAATAATGTGAATGCCTAAAAATATTTACTAAGATGTGTCATGCATCTTTGGAGTGTGTCCAAGAGGGCCTAGGTTTCTTTCCTCACCCTTTTAGCTGTGGGCCATAGCACACCAAAAACATCCAAAACATTTGCAAAACATTGCTCATATGTACTATTCACAGCACCTGTTTCAATCTGCCAACTTCCATTTCTTGTACTTATTTTGGTCCTACATCAAGATAACATTTGGATATTGGCATCCACCTAACTAATAAGTTAAATTTTTCTCTCTTAATAAAACTTCTACTCAACTCAACTCAACTCAAAACATGGACTTTGTTTTCACCAATTTGCTTTGTCTAGGCAAAACCCTAAACCCTATCAATTCTAATATTCCTTTAATAACATTCATAAATGACTGAGGTTCTATCTGGCTGTCAATTACCTACTTCTAGTGATTTTCACCTACACTATATGAATGTCACTGACAAGATGGAATAGTAACCATAGAAAAGGACAATATTTCAAAGCTTTCTGATAAAACGAAGAGGAACATGTATAGCTTT